CCCGAGCTGGCGTGGGTAGAATGGAAGTCTTCCGTGTGCATCCATCTTCATTTGAAGAGGCGGTGAATGTGGCATTGAATGCCGAATTCAATTTCGAGTCAGCGTGACTTGGTTCTAATGCACACTCCAACAGCTCGTCGAGCGGGTCTGTGCCCATGGATCTCAGCTATGCTGAGGACGAGGGAGCAGAGCTTCGGGCTGCCGGGCAGCACACAAACATACGACGGTGTTTTGTCTGTGGAGACACCCGTCACCTTCAGAACGATTGCCCCCTGCGCAAGGCGCGTCAAGGTTCTTCGAACCATCGCCCCAATTCCTACCAGTCTGGTTTGTCGCCGGGAGACGACGCAATCCAGTAGGGGCGGGACAACCTACTGGGAAAGTCATGAGTTCTGTTGAGCCTCAGGGAGGCATAGGTCACCAGGGCCCCAGCCCCAAAGAGCTCCATGCGCTTGAACACGAAACGTGTATGCAAGCCGGAGTTGCTAGTCGTGGAGGCGACCGTAAAGGGCTTCGAGAAGCCATGGAAGATCCTCATCAATTTCGGGGTGTCGGACAATTATGCTCGAGGCTCCACGATGGAAGGAAGTCAGCTGAATGCTGAGGCGCTGGAAACGCGGGTGGGTGACATTGTCACTGTTCGTCTAGCGACGGGCACACGTGTCGAGGTCCCGAAGGCCCCTGTGGACCTCGGAGTCAAGTTCCTTGACTTTGATAGCGAAGAACGCTGTCTAGTCTTAGACTTGGATGCAAGGTATGACCTCATCCTAAGAATGGCATGGTTGGAACACCATGAACCGTGGATTGATTGGAAATCAAAGACCATGGGCGCTACGCGCACGTCTCCTGGTGGAGCTTTGGCGAGTCATGAACCCTCTCTGCTAGGAGACAAAAGCGCTATTGGTGAGAGCACTGAACCGAGACGGTCAACGTGCTAGACATTGGAATGTCCGAGCTGGTAGGAACCAACGGTGGATTGAACAGGAGTCCCGAGCGTGGCTCGCGGGCTGATCGTGGAGTGGCACGCAAGCCACTGAGCGCTGCTCGAGTATCGAAGCGGTCGCTGCATCTCATGCGTGACATGGTCGGCCAAGGGCCGAGGCATCGAGGGCAAGGTCCCCGTGATGCACGTGAAGTGGCACGTAAACCACTGAGCACTGCTCTCGTTGCGAAGC